GGGGAAAGAATGCTTAGTGCAAACTGAACACAGCACATTTTAGAAAATGATTAAGATAATCCTCAAGAATGCTAGAGTTCTGGTGCTCCCTGAGGACTTCCAAATAACCAAGGTTTTGTTGTAAAAGAAACTCGATGAGCTAGACAGCTAACAAACACCACCACTGGGTGGGATTTTCGTTTATAAAAGCGAAAGGCAATCTTGTGCCTTTGTGCGAATGGCCTCAGACCAGGTCAGCCTCTGTGTGGCCCACTTAGTAACAGGAAGCACCGCCAGGAATCCTGGTTGTCAACGTGGTGGCCATGCTAGCTGGTGTGCATGTGTCATTTAACCATCGCATAATCCTCATTTGTTTTTAGATGAAAAAAATTAAGCCCAGAGAGTTTGCATAACTTGTCCGAGGTCACACATCAAGTCCTGGGTGGCTTGACTACATTGCTCCCTAATCATAAACTATAGCCAGTCTCATCGCCCAGGCACATGGCATCACTTACAAGGGGGCGGGAAGGGCAGGTGAGTAGACCTGAGCCCACCAGAAAAAATCAGAAAACAGCACAGATGCAGCATCCTGCTAAAGCTGGTCCTGGGCCCAGGACTTTAGGGCCAGTGTCAGGATTTCCCTCCTTAGTAGACAGAGGAAATTAAAACACTGATTCCACTCAGTTACCCCCTAGATATCCTGGAAGGAAAGGGTGCCGTGAGAAAGGTCCGAGGCCCCCAGCTCCCTCAGGCATCCCTGCCTGCTTCCACCTCCGGCTACGGAGCAGCATCTCCACCCATGGGCCTGGCCCAGTGGCTTTCCCACCCTCAGCATCTCCACCCGTGTGCCTGGCCCAGTGGCTTTCCCACCCTTCACAGCGAGAGTCAAAGCCCCGCAGAGCAGGGGGCCTTCTCTGCCCTCTGGGAGCACAATGACAGTGTTAGTGACGATTGGGGTTGACAACAAGAACTAGATTAACCTGAAGCAGAGGGCTCTTCCGCCAGGAAATGGTCACAGAGAGGGCAGACGTCTCCTCTCCTACACAAAGCTCATCAACCAGACACAACAAAATCACTGGGACAGGAGAGAGGAGGGGGACTGGGAGCCGGTTGCCCTTATTTTGACTTCTGTGTTATCCAAGTGTCCCCTGCAGAGTTCAAAGATCAAAAGATGCTGAAAAGCTCACAATGAAACACCAGCCCTTTCCTTCCCCACCTCTCCCCCTGCACCACCACTAAGTTCCACCTGCTCCCACCCTGGGTCAGTAACGTTTAAACTTGTTAACTATTCCTTCTGGTAGTAAGCTCCACATTCCTATATGTATTCTGCTTTTAACTCTTGAGTTATCACTTTTAGACAGTGTTAGTTGACTCCCTATGACAGCAGATGCTTTCCTTCCCTTACGTCCCCTGATCCCCCTCACTCCCTCCCCCCCACAGGGGTATATCACAATCTTTGTCATTCAATAATCAGCGTTTCGAAGTGTGATTATGTAAAAACTGTTTACTTCAAACACTATAAAGTTTACTATACATTTCCTTTTCTGTTCAACTTCTATTTTTCCCACAGTTAAAAATGTTCTTGTTTTAAACTTCCCTGTATATCTTTTGCTCCGTCTCTGTCACGGTTCCATTGTTGGAAACAATTCTCACGTGTGTGACAAATATTTATTGGGCATCTACCTTTGTATGTTTTTCTACCAGGTGTTAAGAGATACAGAAAGAAACACAGTATAGAAAGAAGCATGGACGTTGGCCTTCTGTAGACTAAAATTTGATTGACAAAGAGAGGTTCACGTAAAAAGAAAAAAATAAACAGTACAGGCCTGAAGCAACAGTTGAAGCATTGCCCTAAGTGCTCGGTGATGTGTGGAATTAATGGAGCCTGGAGGAAATGTTCTGGAGTCAGAGAGGCTAGAGTGGAAAGGAAGGTTTTCTGGAGGGCACGGGGCAGGAACTGGGCTTGGAAGTCTGATCAGTATGTGCGAGCAGAGAGGGGAAGGGAGTGTGCCAGGGGAGGGAGGGAATCAGGGCAGAGCTGGGCCGTGGGCCCCGAACATGTGAAGCATCTTTTCAGCAGGCCTCGGCCTCAGTTTCCTCATCACTACAAAGTGGGAAGGAGCTGATAGCTGGTCCTGCGCTTGAGTGAGAAAAATACCCCTATTCTTAGGAAATATACACTGAAGCATTCGGGGGTAAAGGGCCAAAGTGTATGTGGCTTACCCCCAAGGGGTTCAAAAATAAACAACTACATAGATAGACAGGTAGTGCGTGGGTATTAGTGCATGGTAATGGTACAGGGATTATTTAGGGTTATTTTAATTGGGGGGGGAAATTTAAGGTTTAAAGCTAGTTATAAAGACACCTTAAGAACTCATCCTAAGGAAATAATCACACTTATGTAAGCTTAACAATTTAAGTATTTGTAGTAGCAAAAAAGAAAAAAAGAAAACTAAATTAAATATTCAACATAAAGAAGTGGTCAAATAAATTTTATGGTACATTACGCTGCCATTAACATAAATTTTTCCCAATAAATGTAAATCTCGAGAAAATGACCAGGGTGCGATGTAATGTAAAAGGGCAGGATATAAAATTGTACATATTGTATAAATCCAATTACGTATCAATATAGACATCACAAAATTAAAGACCATACACCAAGGTATTAACAGTGGTAGGATTCAGGGTCATTTTATCCTCAAATTTTTATATTCTGAAGTTTTCCATATATTGGTTTTCTAATAAAAATAAACATAATTTTCTCAAAAGCTAAAGAAAGATGAGACTTGGGGACAAACCCAGGGTTATTTAAATCATTTTTAGGGATTAAGGGAAAATTATAAGTATGTTTATTCTTTGAAATCATATCCATGGTGTTTTTATTTTTTTTATTTATTTATTTTAAATATATCTTTATTGATTTCAGGGAGAGGAAAGGAGAAGGGGAGAGAGAGAGAGAAACATCAATGATGAGAGAGTCATTGATCAAGCCCGCAACTGGGGCATGTGCCCTGACCAGGAATCGAACCCCGATCGCGTGGATCCCAGGTCAACGCTCAACCGCTGAGCCACGCCTGGCCGGGCTCCATGGTGTTTTTATATCTTTAAAAAAGTGAAGACGAGCCCTGGCCGGTGTGGCTCGGTCAGTCAGACGGTTCCCCAGAGCACCGAAAGGTTGTGGGTTTGATTCCCGGGCAGGCCTCAGAGCACCGAAAGGTCGTGGGTTTGATTCCCGGGCAGGGCACATAAGTAAAGCAAAGAAAGAGAGTATGGACCTGATGGGGTTACTGGCAGGATCAAATGAGATCATCTTTGTAAAGTTCTTAGCATAGTGCCTGCCCAAGGTAGTATGTATATATATATATAATTTTTTTAAATTTATATATATACACATAACAGTTGACTGTTTTAATGACCCTCAATTTCCTGCTTCTCTTTGCCAGTCTCTGGTTGAGGATGAGTTTTGTTCGGCAAGGTCCATGCTG